TAATTATTGTAAGGAATGGAATAAAAATTATTTTTTCACGCTATTATTTCCGATAAGGAACGTACATACTCAATATTGAATAAAAATTATTTTTTCACGCCATTATGGAATAAATCTCCTATTCAACATGTTTTATACTTTTGCAGATTTAATGCAAAAATAGTTTATCTTCTACAAGATAATTCAAGCGTACAAATCCATAAGATACATTTTGTGGCCGCATATCATGCAATTTTTGTTCAGTCTGCCAACAAAAGAAAATAAATATTAATATTTCAATTCATCAATTAATTAAAGTTGGACTCTCATGTAAAGATTAGTATTTACATTTCTATAAAATACCCAAAATCCTATACCATTCAATTTTTATTCCCTTTCCATAAGTTTGTAATTAAAAGCCACTCTCCACAATTAAATTATTTGAAATTAATATATATTAATTTTTTTTTTGGAATAGAACGAAAAAGCTGATATTAATTGATTCCTATATATATAGATACCATAATTTATCAACTTCTCCAATTCCTGTCCATAAAAAAAAAAAAAAACGCATAGAATTTTCAGAAAATATTAAAAAAAATGAGAGAGTTATTTGATACACTCCATGTTGTTAATAGGTCCAATAAACCTTATTTGATATTGAGAGTCATTCTAATTATTGAGATCAAATTTGACGTGGAGTCCAATAATTTTTTTGAGATCATCTTTCTAGATCGTGAGGTAATATTTTGATATGTTATATCTATATATTACTAACATCCGTAATTTTATTATTTAACTTATTTTGTATAACTTCATATTGTATACGTTCTGCACATATGCGTGCATTTTGAGGTGTATTTAAGCAAGGCGATATATATGCACTCAGGGACTACGACATTGAAATTAATAATGGGATGTGCAAAGCAACCAACCAACGGTGGATGCTTGTGCTCCATAGCAGGACTATTGTTTTAATAATTAAGCTTGGAACCAATGTTTTAAATACTGTACCAGTGGCCATACCGGTTTAGCTACCGTTACACGGTATTATCGGTCGGACCGGTAATATCGGTGGTATTACCGAATTAACAAATATAATGATATATATAAATCTACATAAAAATATATAACATTAAATGCAAAAAAGTAAAGAAATAAATGACCAAATCATTAATTTCAATTTCTCAATGAGATAAAAATAAAACATTTTAATTACCAATTTAAATTTTATTTTTTAAAATTAAAAAAAAAATTATTGGCCGGTATTTTGAACCGGTATTTTGCGTTTTTTACAGTATGATCACAGTACAAACCAGTATAACCGTAAATCCGGTATTTTGAGTGTAATTGTACCGTACCAATGGCTGGTATCCGGTATTACCGGCCAGTACGGTACGGTATTTAAAACATTGCTTGGAACAATTATAAAAATTAATTAGTTTTTATATTTTTTGGATTTGATATGAATTGTTGCACTTCTTTCGTATGAATTTTTTATCTTTAATTTTAATCCATTGTCTTTGAATATTCCTCAGATTGAAACGATGATTTAATTATTTTAATGATGATGTCATTATTTTAATACATGTCGTTGAGATATTATAATCTTTACTAATAAGTCATCATTAAAATAGCTACGAACCATTAGATAAACAAATATATATACTTAACAATATCGGATTCACATTTTTACAATTATTAATAATTGCATTGATGTAGATTCTAATATAAATTGTACAACTTTGCTAAGAAACCAGATGGTTGGTTCCCTTATGGAACCAACCACCAATGAGACAGTGCCATGTATTATTCACAGCCCCATGTAGCACTGTCTCATTGGTGGTTGGTTCCATAAGGAAACCAACCATCTGGTTTCATAGAAGAACTGATAAATTGTAAACCAATTGTTAGTTGTTGT